ACGCTTATGGGATTTCGGTGACCCGTTCGGATTAGTAACATGAGTTGTGGGCCCCATGGGGAGGGGGGCTCCCGCCTGAGCCTTCCTCGCAATTCACTCGCAGATGAGGCTCCCGCCTGAGACTTCCGCCGTACTCAAGCTCGAAGAGGCCAGCAGTGACGACAGTTACGCTATTCCGATGGCCCCCGCTCGGATTAGTAACATGGGCTGCGGGTCCAACAGGGAGGGGGCTTCCGCCGAAGATTTCTTCGCAATTCAGTCACAGACGGGGCTCCCGCCTGAGATTTTCGCCATAGTCAAGCTTGAGCAGGCCAACAACGACGACAGTTATAGGATTCCGATGACCTGCTCGGATTACTAACAGTAGCTGCGGGCCCCATGGGGAGGGGGCTCGCGCCTGATGTTTTTCGCAAATCGCTCACAGACGAGGCTCCCGCCTGAGACTTCCACCGTATTCAAGCATGAAAAAGCCAGAAGTGACGACAGTTACAGGAGTCCGATGACCCGCGTGGACTAGGAACATGAGCTGCAGGCCCCATAGGGAGGCCCCCCCCGCCTGAGACGTCCTCGCAATTTACTCACAGACGAAGTTCCCGCCTGAGATGAGTGAGTGAGTGAGTGAGTGAGTGAATGAATGAGTGAGTGAAGGTGGTCATGATAACGATGATGATGACGATCGTGGTGATGATGCTGATGACGATGATGAGAGTGTGAGTGAGTGAGTGGGCGGGTAGGTGGGTGAGTGAGTGGGTGTGAGAGCGTGGGAGACTGGCGATGATGTGTGTGTGTGTGTGTGCGAGTGTGTGAGTGGGCGAGTGAATGGGTAAGTAAGTGTGTGTGTGAGAGTGTATCAGTGGGTGAGTGAGTGTGTGTGAGTGTGTGTGTGTGTGTGTGTGTGTGTGTGAGAGTGTGGGTGTTCTCTTGTTCCTGCGCGGGGTGTCTAGAGAAAACAAGAACCCCAATTTGGATGTGGGAGCAAGATAGTCAGGCACACAGACAACTGATCATGATGGAGAACGTTGCCCGGCAAGCTGATGGCAGCGCAGTGCGACGCTGCTCGTTCTCCTTGGGGAGTTCTCTCCGTCGGTTCGCCCAAGTGGCTCTCGTATGTAAGTGCACTCGGCCTAGACACACTTGGAGCAGGCGCGTGTACGACTTCGCTTGCCAGGCAGCTGGCGGACCATCATCCCTGCAAGCTTTATGACAAGGGCCCGCACGGGCATGAAGCTCAGCAGCAAGACGTTTCTGCTTCGAAGCATGGGCGTGAACCCCCGGGTGCCGCGTGTTTTCCCTGCCAGTGCCAACGCACCCTGGACGTGCACGGCTTGCTGAGACGGCACACCTTGGGCCAGCGGCAGGAAACCCCTCCTCCCGAAAGCAGTTCTGTCAAGTCCCTGAGGCGCACCGAACATGTTAGGAATCCCGTTGCCAACAGGGTATCGCTTTAAGCATACTCCAGCGGCACCTCGTCAGCCATTAGGGCGGACAGAACAGTCTTGGATGGGTGGCCATCAACATTTTTTTTGTCACCACGGTGTGGTTTTGCCGAGGCGGCACACCGAGCGGCAAGGCTTGCGCTTCCTGGTTGCGAGGCTTGCCCTTCCTGGTGTGAGGCTCTCGAGCAGCTTACTCGATCTTCCAGGCCTGACTGCATCGGCCGCTAGGGAGGTCACTGCGCCCATGGCACGGGTCTCTCGCTAAGACCTCGGGAGCTCCCGTTTGGCGGAACAGCCAGGCAGAACACAGTGCGCAGACTATGACCCGACTCTGCTCTTCGACAGCATAGCCGAGAGCACAAAAATATGCAAATGCCCCACTCTGAGGCGGTGGGGGCTGAGGTTCAGCAGGCCCCAGACACACCCGCCGCCGACATCGCTGCCTGCAGTGCGACCAGAGTCCTCGCGCTGCCGAAGAGGGCGACGAACTCTGTGGCCCGCCAGGCCTGGAATATGGAGGGCCCGCAGGCCTTGCTGCTCCCTGGGCGCGGCTGGGCCAGGGAGGTGGGAATGCGGGCTTAGAGTTAAGTCGGGCCTGTCCCTCCACAGGAGTATCCAAGAGTAGTCAGAAAATAGTCAGGGGACGATTTTTTTGACCATTTTTGACAAATTTGGAGTTTTTTCTTTTTTAAATATTTAGTTTTCGTCCCAAATCCGCCTGTCCGACCTAAACTTACAGGTTGCAGCGCTTGCGCCTCCATTCGCCCTTCTCGGCAACGTGGGGCAGCTCGTGCTGGGGCAGCACCGCCTGCACCGGGGGGCCGCGAGGGCCCTGCGGGGCAGACGAGTCTGCGAGATCCGAGGACAGCAACGCGATCGCTTGGGCAGACCGACTCACGAAGTCAAGGTTCTCTCTCTGTTCGTCTGAGAGGTGCACTTTCTGCGCCCCGACGGCCGCAGAGGCCACAGCATGGGACCCCGATCCCAAGCGAGCGAAGACGTCGGCCCACACGGTGCCGAGGAAGTCTGCGACGGCACGAGGCTCGGGGGCTCCGAGCAGCTCGTTCCAGTCGCCATGGGCCTCAGGTCCACTGGAAAGTTGGCCGCCGCAAGACAGGGTTGAGCATCGACCTCCGCGTGGAGGCACGTTCTACGCGTCCTTCCGCCACGGAGGGGTCCCGCAAGTTGCTCTCCCGTGCCGCACCCAAGCGGCTTGTTGGGGCGAACTCGGAGCGCCTGAAATATTGCGGCCCGCTCGGCCCGAGGCACCGATGGGTGCCACGCAGGGAGGACTCCGCGCACAGGTGATCGTTTTTTTGATTGATTGTTTTGCCGATCGGACTAGATCTTGGCTGTTTCTGGCGCCTGTTTCGAGCGGGTGGAGTCTCCCCCAGAGGCAGCACTCTTGCAAACAGTCGCACTAAGCAGAGGTCTGGAGCTCCCCCCCCCTTCGGAGCTCCCCCCCCTTCCGCCCAATGTCGAAACGCCGAATGAGAAAACCCTCACCAGATCGAACAGGAACCCGCGCGGCCCGATCTCGACCGCAGCCCAGCCACGCCTGCTGGGCTCGGGGCTGCTGCTGTCCAGCCCCTGGCCGTCGGCGTATGGGGCGCGGCTCCTCGGGAGAGGGGGCGGGGCGCTCGCTGGAGGCGGGGGCGAGCGGAAGCGTCTGCAGGGGGAGCCCCGGAGGCCCTCCTGCGCCGCACTGCTTTCTCACAGCGGGCGATCTCGCTCGGCTTCGGGCCCCAGGGCCATCACGGATCGATCCGGCTCGGAGCATCTCGTTTTCTTACAGCGCGGGCCCTCGCATCCCTCCCTCCCCCCCCTCTCATGGACTAGATCTCTGCTGTTTTCGGCGCCTGTTTGCAGCAGGCGGAGTCTCCCCGACAGGACGCACTGCTGCAAACAGTCGCGTCAAGCAGAGGTCTGGAGCCAGACCCCGTCTCTCCCCCCCTTCCGTCCAACGTCGAAACGCCGAGTAAGAAACGACGTTCACAAGGATGGGGTCTGGAGCTCGTGAATCGCCCAGGGATGTATCACGGGGGCGAGGTAGCTCAGGGGGTGTCTTGGAGGACATGGACAATTGCACGGTGCGCAGGACTCCTTCGAACAATTGCCGGGAGGCCTGGACTCTCGCGACTTTTTTTTGCGGGAGGCCTGGTTTCTCGCAAATGTTTCGCGGGCGATTCGTCGTGATGCTGCAGACTTTTCGCGGCGTCGGGTCTCAGCGGGCGTCGCGGGCGACGGGCACGCGGCAGGCTCGCGTCGAGTCGACGCGGCGGCGACCCCGGTCTTGATTCTTCGACGTTGCGTGTCTCCTCAGCGTTCCCGTAGCCTCTGGCTCAAGCCGTCTGGTGGGCCCGCCCTCTCCGGGGCAGTCTCCCGCCGCTCAAGGGGGCGCCCAGACGCTGCGCCGTGGGCCCGCGGCCCTGGACCCCCTCCGGCCTCCTGGGCGCGCCGGCCATTGTGGCAGCCTTGCCGCCTGCGCAGACGGACTCAGCGGCCTGCGGCTCAGATCAGATCAGGGCCGCCGCCCCATGGAGGATCGGCCTGATGAAGGGCGATCGATCGGCGATGATCCATTCATCCCTGTGAGGACGAGGGCCCCATCACCTGACGTCGACCTCGGGGCCAGTGGACTGAGCGAGTCAGGACATCCTCGCCCTGGATCTCAGGACACTATCCCGCCCCGGACTTTGCTTTCGCCGCCTGACCCTTGTCTCGCGGCCGCGACCAAAGCAGTTTCCTCAGCATTTAGGCTCGCGCGTAGCACCTCCCCTCACGCCGTCTGCGCTGGCCGCTTCGGCTGCCGCCCGCTTAGGCCGCTTCGCCCGCGCGTGTAATTAGATCGGCCCGTGGCCCGGACCTTTCACCACGGCGCCTGCGCTTTCGCTTGCGCCCGCGAGAAAAAAGCTTCCTCAGCGTCAGATCCCAGGGAAACCAAAGGCCAGCTCAAGGTTCTTCAGTTGGGGTGCGCCCTGGCCACATCTCCCCTGTTCCCTGGGCTGCTCCCGCCACTCCACGGCGTCGTCGGGGTAGCACGACCCAGGATATCGCGGGCACTCCAGAACTGGTGGAGAATGTGGAGGAGGAGGAGTAATGAGGAGGAGAAGGAGGAGAATGAGGAGGAGGAGGATGAGGAGGAGAAGGAGGAGGAGGAGCAGGAGCAAGAGGAGGAGGAGGAAGGAGGAGGAGGAAGAGGAGGAGGAGGAGGAATAGGAGGAGGAGGAGAGGAGGGGGAGGAGATGAGGAGGAGGAAGAGGAGGAGGAGGAGGAGGGAGGAGGAGGAGAGAGGAGAGGAGGGGAGGAGGAGGAGGAGGAGGAGGAGGAGGAGGGAGGAGGAGGAGGAGGAAGAGAGGAGAGAGGGAGGAGGAGGAGGGAGGAGGAGGAGGAGAGGGAGGAGGAGGAGGAGGAGAGGAGGGAGGGGAGGAGGGGAGGAGGAGGAGGGGAGGAGAGGAGGGGGGAGGAGGAGGAGGGGGCTGGAGGAGGAGAGGGGAGGAGGAGGAGGAGGAGGAGGAAGAGGATGAAGGAGAGGAAAGGAGGCGGATGAGGAGCGGTGCTCAGGACGCCTGCTGCTGAGAGAGGGTACTCTTCCAGCACTTCGCCGCGGAAGACGCGCAGCAGGACCGAACCCGCAGATGCCAGCAGGCGAGCCCTGACGCCCAGCCGGGGAGGAACAGAGGAGGGTCGTGGGCGAAACACATATCTGTATCCGAGGCCTCTTGGGCCGGGCGGGCCCCTGGGCCGCGATCCCGTGGATACGCGGCATGTTTTGCTGCGGATGCCCCGTGCGGAAGGCATCCATGCGACCGCGTAATCCACGGGATCGTGCCCCAGAGTCCAGACTGCGTGGACGTGGATGTGTTGGCCGCTCGTGAAAGGGGGGAGGTCCTTGTTCTCTTTCTCCTCGTCTTCGGGGCCTTCGGGGGCCACCCTCGTCGCCACGGCTGCGTCGGTCTTACAATCCCGCTCAGAATGCGTTGCAGGACGGACCATGGTGCCGACTTCTGCAAGGGGCCGTCTCTCTCTCTCTCTCTCTCCCCTCAGCTTTCCTGGGTCCTTCCTGATGGTCCTCCCTCCCAAGCCTCCAGGAGGCTTTCGGCCGATTGGTTTGTTTCCTGCTGTCTACCTGGTTTTGGGAAGAGCACGGAGGACTGAGGCCGTGCTCTGGGAGGCCGCTCACGCGCGCAACTTGTGGGCGGCTGGGGCCAACCGTGGCCCCACCGATATTGTTTGGCGCCAGGCGTTCCTGTGTGTGAGGTCCGCTCATATCCCCATTCTATCGTCACATACCGCAGCTGTATCGGCTCAGGTATTGGCATTAACACTAACAGTGCGCTGCCCTCCGCGCAGCGCCCAGGAAAAGGAATAGCTAACCTCTTCCTCCTTTGCCTCTACCTACGGACCCCTGTATAGGATCGACTCCTCGGTCGTATCCCTATATACACACACTTCCGTTCTGAAAGTGGAATTTGGAGGGGTGAGTTTCGGCCTCTTCCTTTTGGGACTGCAAGGAATACTACGAGCACATAGGGCTGCAATCCCCGTGGGAGAAGTGCACGGAACATGGATTCGCTCCCTCTCTCTCTGGCCAGGTTCGTCTGTTCGTGCGCGCTCCTGGGCGAGATTCTTGGCGATTGGTTTTGTCGAGGGACCGACCTTCGTGGGGAGGGGCCTGGTCGCGGGGTGCACCTTTGCGACCGGCCTCATCCGTGCCTTCGCGATGTCGGTCTTTGACACGGCCCCCCCATCGCCAAGCATCGACTTCGATTTTTGCATGGACGGCACGTCCCTCAGCAATACGGGCCTTTTTGAGCAGGTCGTCCAGGGCCTCGTGTCGGGAGCGCGGGTTTTCCACAAAGCGATCACGATGACTTTGGGGTACGAGCTGGCCATGGACAGTATTGGCAAGGTGGCATCTCTTTGGAGTATCGCTGACAAGTTGACTGAAGAGCTCGGGCCCGTAGTCGGATCAGGTAAGGCAAGTCTTGTCAGCATAGGCATTGACTGTTCCGCTGGTGAAGCTCTGCGTGCTGCTGGACAGGGCAGGGCCTCAAAGCTCAAGGCCAGACTCGCGGGAGCTGCTCGCAAGAGCAGGCGTTCAAGCCGTCTTTCTGAGGCCCTGGGTCACCACACTGCTCGTATGTTTGCTGCTGGTCCGATGGCTTGGGGGGCGGGGGAGATGGGACCAAGCTTTGTGGAGTTTCGGGCAGAGGGTTAACGTGGCCTCAGAAGCATGGGGACGATCTCGATTCGCCCTCGTGCCCATGGGCTCCTCCCCGCCCCGATCCCTCGCCTCTCGTTCCTTCTGATGGCCTCCTAACCTAACCTCCTCCTCCTCCTCCCCCTCCCCCTCCTCCGCCTCCTCCTCCTCCTGCTCCTCCTCCCCCTCCTCCTCGGCCTCCTCCGCCTCCTCCGCCGACTCCTCCAACTCCTCCGCCTCCTCCCCCTCCTCCTCCCCCTCCTCCTCCCTCCTCCTCCCCCATGGGTTCGGTTTCATCGCTGGTTGGAGCCGTCGGCACTTGGTTCCTTGAGCTTCGCAGAAGTTCCTGGGGCTTGGCCCATGGTGGCCAAAGACGGTTCCCCCCTCGGGCAAAGCAGTGGGCCCGTGTGGGCCCGCTGCCGTCCGACGTGCCGGGGGGCTGAGTTCGACGCGTTTGTGTGGTGGGCTCTGTGTGCAGCACACGAGGTCGATCTTCTACTTGACTGCAAGCATGCTCTTGTGCGGGATGTCTTGCCCAATGCAGAGGCCCTTCCATATACGGACCGTGTGTGAGGAACTCTTATGCAGGATCACCATCCTTTTGGCCCTCACCTTCGGTCGTGTACGAAGGTCAAGGCTCACACAGACACCACCGAAGGGGATGCACACGCACTGGGGAGATTTTGGAGACCCGACAGTGTTCACGCCGCTCGGGCTGCCAATAGTGCTTTGGCCAGGCATCCTTAGGCAGCGCCCGTCGAGCTCGTTGGACTAGACCGTGATGTTGGGACTGCTACTCCAGATTTCACAGCAAAAGGGGGGTGGTCGGATTTTTTTTTTGGGGGGGGTCTGCTTGGAGTTGTCTTGGAGGTTCCATGGGGGTCTGGACAAGAGGCCGCCCCTTCGTGGCTGGTCGGGGGGGGGGGTCTAAATTTGCTCGTCTGGGAGAGCTGTGACCCCCTCGCATGTATTATTACCAGCCTCGAACCTATCCCTATCCCTAAGATTGACACGCCAAAAGGCGATGACGATCTTAGGGATGCTCCCTCAAAAAATAGGGTAAATCCCTGAGATTGGCACTGTGATGAGGCGATGCCCAGCTTAGGGATAGGGATCTGTTCCAGGCTGGTAATATCAGGACATCTCGAGTAAGCAGGTTTTGAGACTTGGCTCCCTCTGCATGGTGGCTGACTTCGCCCAGCGCGTCCCGCTTGCTTTACTCGCCAGCGCCGTCCCTCTGCCCAGCCGCCGACGCAGCAAGGTCTTGAGACTGGGAGCTGCCATTCGGCTCGAGTGGCCCCTCGTCTTGAATTCCATCGGCGCTGTCCGTGCTCCCCCGCCGCCCACTCTCTCTCTATCTGTTTCTCTGTCCCTGCCTGTGCCTCTCTCCCTCTCTCTCTCGCTCTGACTCTCTCTATGGCCCCCTCTCTCGCTCTCTCGCTCTCTCTCTCGGCCAGGCCCTCCCGCAGGGGACGCCACGGGGCGGAGACGCGGCCTTCCCCCCCGAGGGCTCCGAGAGGCCCCCTCCCGGAGAGCGGCGCCTCCGGGCGGGGGCCTCGCGGACGCCCGGAGGGGCCTCGAGGAGCCTCTCCGGTCGCGCGCCCTCCGCGGCGCCGTGCTCCACCTCGGGGCACGGCCCGCCGTCCCCCTCCCCCTCCTCGCAGGCCCAGGGGTTGACACCAACACCGACATCGGCCGTGTGCCTCCTCTCCGCCCTCCTCCCCATCCCCTCATCATCCTCCCCTCCTCCTCCTCCTCCTCCTCCTCCTCAACATCTTACTCCTCCTCCTCTGCACTCCCTCCTCCTCTTCTGGCTTCCAGGGTGGCCGAAGTACCACCACCCACGCCGAAGTCTAGGATCATCTTCCCCCCGTGGAGGAGACCCCCTGTGTTGGTGCTGGTGCCCATTTCCAGGCCTCGAACCCTCGAGTCGGGCACGCCCCCCTGCAGGAGGAATATCCACAAAGCGTCAAAGAAATGCTATGGGGACGATGCTTCTGTTCTTTTGTCGACTACTTTTTGGGGCAGTTTTGCCTCTTTGTTTTTCCTTGTTCTTTTCTTCCGGTACTTCGCCGCCGGGTTCTTGTCCAAGGCGTTCCTTTGCAGGCACATCGTCCTCGGCACCGCCTGGTTCCGGGGCTTTGCCCCCTCCTGGCCTTGACGTGAGGCTCCTCCTTCTGCCCCCCCCCCTCGTCAATTCAGGCTGTGCGCGGCCGGCTGAGCTTCGACCGGAAGAGGTGCGCTGTCGACCCGCGGATCAAACATTTTCCTTGTTCCTCCAGAGGGCGGAGCAATCGGGCTGACTGGGGCACAGAGCCAGATAATTTGCGAACCCAGCCGTCACTGTCGACAGCCGACCGCACTAGGAGGAATATCCAATATCCACAAAGCGTCAAACAAATGCTATAGGGGACGATGCTTCTTTTCTTTTGTCGACTATCCTTTGGGCAGTTTTGCCTCTGCTGTTGTTCCTTGTTCCTCCAAAGTTCGCCTGGAGGGGGACATGCCCGACCTTAACCCTCCCCCCGTGCGCGCGAGAGGCCTTCTGGGGCGGACCGCCACGACTCGATGGAGGTCCGCGTGTCTCACGCGCAGGCCTCCGGTCGGCGGCGCGCGAGGGGGGGAAGCGAGGGGGGGCCAACCAGCCCAGGTTCGAGGTTCGAGTTTCGAGCTTAGGGATTCGAGGTTCTCGGGAGGTTTCGTAGTTTCTTGGCGGTCTTCCGCCCTCGGGATGCGTTCCAGCGGCTGCGCCTCGCCGAGGGCGTTCGGGGGGTGCCCAGATCGTCCCAAACGGCCGCCAGAGACCCGAGTCATGATCCAAAAACAGAAACCGGCGGCGAGCGAGGGGGGGAAGTGAGAAGGGGCGGGCTTTCTCGGAAGGCTCGGAAGCCCCCTGGCCTTCCGAGAAGTTTCTGAGCCTTCCCCGGAGCCGCAACAAAACCTGTCAGAAGGCGCGAGGGCTTCTGAGGCGTCCCGATGCCTTCTGAGAAGGCCTTCGGCTGAAAAAAAAAATCCCCCCCCCCGCTCGCCGCCGATCAAGGAGGGGGGCAAAGCATGATCGGGACGATCGACGCGGGTACTCCAAATCCCCTGTTTATCGGCCCCCCAGGTCCGGTTTCTCAGGGCGCCGTTTTTGTAACTGGTGGGGGAGGTTTGGTGGATTAGGGCGCTTTCTTTGGACTGGAGCTTATGGGGGCTCGGTTTATCAATGCGCCCCGTCGAAGAGGGGGGTCCGGAATATTAGGTCGCATTTGGAGGGGGGTCCGGTTTTTTCCCCATGTCCAAAGGATGGGGTTCTTGTTATTATTTGACCGCGCCGGACTCCTCATCATAATCCCTTCCTTCCCTCGTTGGTTGTGTTGAGTGATGGTCAATAATATATGATGATGATGATGATGATGATGATGATGATGATGGTGGTGGTGGTGGTGGTGGTGGTGGTGGT